AGATGGATTGGTTTATCGAAAATTCAATAATGATTGTACCGCAAATTTGACTCTGCGTCGATATAAACAAACAAAAGCCTCTGCAGTTTACAAAAAATTAATGTTACGGTATGCGAAACTGCTTTATGACAAATTAAAGGAAACTCAACAAGATACAGATCCCTAATCTTAACCGTCTACAATATAAATGTATAGGACTAACGCGTAACGTTACCAGAGGCTCGCGGACTTCGGGGATTGGGCCGGTTAGTGGTCAGGGGGCGTAACCCCTAGTTTTCCAGAAAAATTACAGTGAATCGGCATACCTACATTTCCAGGTTTGAGGTCTCATGCGTGGAGGGAACCACAGAATCTCCAAATTCCTGGTTCAAGAAAAACCCTTTCAACAACTATTTCCTCTCTCCCCTCTATTTCCATATTGTGTTCGTTTCCGTTCGTCTTATTTGTAATGGTACTTCAAGCACTACGTGGGTAACACAGCCGAAGGTAGGAGAGATGTGTTCGGTCCTCTTATTTATCTTTTCTCCCGAAACTGAGCGACACCTCATTGACAGCACATAGCAGAGCATTAAGAGGTCACGCTTCACGTCATTGCGCCTTCAATTTTTCAGATGCAGCACGGATGTCCATCAAGTACGAATAGTTGTATCTTCGCGCCGTCGTTAACGCGCATCCTTTCCCTCGCTTTATTTCCGTTGTGTTCGCTTGCGTCTGTCTTATATTCGTAATGGTGCTTCAAACTAGTAGCATAGAGCAGAGTATTGCGAGTTCACGACTCACGCTATCGCATCTTACATTTTTCATATGCAATGAACATCCATCTTGCATCCATCTTGCGCGAATAGTTTTATCGCGTTTACACTTTATATGTCTCTTATTTTTGAAATTCGATATAAATTACGGTTAAGTTTGCCCAAGATATGCTATAGTATGTCCAAATCAATAGTCATTTTAAAAAGCCTTAACGCCTAATGATCCTTCGGACGTCGCCAAATTTCCTTTGATAAATCACGAATTTGCGGAAATATTGTTTCACATTTTTCTTCCGACTTTTCAGAGACTCCCGGTCGTAATTTGATCTAAATATTCTGAAAATTTCAAAGGAAAATATTAATAACTTTCTTCAAAAATAAATATCTTCTGGGAGGAAATTTGGCAACATGCGAATGCTCATACGGCGTTTTTCCCTTGCATGGCAGCACACACTGGTAGTCAACTTTTTCAAGTAATCTATTCAGAGCAGTGGAGGTGAAGTTCCCTTGTTTTCCGGGAACTCGCCACATTTTTAAGAACTCACTTTCTTTCGGCTTTCGTTGGATCTAAGAGTAAATCCGATTAAATGCTCGCCCTTCGAGGAGCCTCACCCAGCGAGGAAATCTAAGCCCCCGTAATACATCTCGGCCGTGCCTATTTTTTACCGTCAGAAAAGATCGGCATTCATATGCATTTTTTACCTTTCATTTTTGCCTGCCTATTCAGGAGGGCACCAAAAGCGTGGACCCGTAGAGGAGAGGATTATCAAAGCTCTTTGCATTTTTCAAGCGAATTTTATTCATGCATCATGACGGATGAAAATGAGCCCGGATGACGTAGTTGGTCCCCAATTATCCGCCACTCGTCAGTCTCCGCGAATTCTCAACAATCTCCAGCGGGGAAAAAAATAGTTTCAATGAACAATGAATTTGAAATTGTCTCATGCGCCATGAATTATTCATCCCGCGCTGCATTTTATAGTCAAAATTCCAAATCAGTTGGCTGATTATGGCACGTGCTTCCAACCACGGCCGTTGCTTCTGAGGGTTTGTCGACTCCGGGCCAGAAACAAAGGGGCCGGATGTAAAATTGTTCAACATGTTCTGCCCTAAATTACGAATTATAAATCTCGAATCGACGTTCCTCGTTGCTCAGAGATTTTGTCGCTTCCCGGACAGAAGCGCGTGACCACACATTGAATCGAGCCCGGAAAAGCATTTGATTGTACGGACGACGGGGTTTATGGTGGAGAGTAGTTACGCCCTTATGTTAGGAGGGCAACGATTTGACGAGGTATTGACGAGTCAATCCGTTTGATGCTTTGTATGCAAAAATCCGACTGCGCGCTGTCGAGGTTATGAAGGATTTTCAAGAGAGGTTTTTTCCTCGAGGAAGCGGATGCGATTTTTTTTTTAACTTTTAAACTTTTCCTCGCCTCTTTATAAGTCCCTCGTGTCGTTCGAGAGGGGAAAATTCCCTCGAAACGACCTTGATACCAATGCTGCCGTGCTAAGGAAGAACGCCGTATGAACATTCGAGAGTTGCCAAATTTCCTTCGATAAAATGTTCATTTTTGAGGCAAGATACTTTTTCTGGCTCCTGTTAAGAAGGATATGGGTGTCATTTGATTCTCCAGCATGGATACTTTTGTAGATAAGCTAACAGTGATACTCCCGGTGGTGTTTCCTTGTTACAAAAGGTGGTGCGAGTATGAATTCCGATAAGGCTATACGAGGGGCTTGGGGTTCAAGGCGCATACGAGCAGTTGCTGCTATTTCGAGAAATACGTGCTCAAGGTTTCAAAATTACATGGAGCCTCATGGCAGGAAGGAAGTTAAAACTGACTTTTTGATGCTTTAAAGTTGGATTTTAGTTGTGAATTTTTCACAGAATATACTTTCAAACTAGCTCTAGTTGAGTTCATGAAAAGTATCATTAACACAGTATCATTAGTATCATTAGTTATCATTGTTATTAGTATCATCGAGTATCATTTTTTTCAAAAACTGCACTTACGCGCCTTTCTATAGGCCCACTAACCTCCAAGGCCCTCATATAAACTTTGTTAACGCAGACTTGCTTCCACTATTGGGCCTAGTTAGATCTGAGAAATACAGAGGTCTTAAGGGTGATTTATTTGTCATTTTCAGGGCTAAATTCAAATTTTCATAAGGCCATCTGATTCACACGAGAATCCTCAGTACCTAGCAGATTTTGTTAAAATTGCACATCATGGAATTTTTCATTTGGAATGAGTTATATATAATTCTATGCATATAGCGAAATCTGAGATTAGGACAAACAACACCACACTGGAAAAAAACACATTGGATCTAGAGTCCAGACTCTTAAAAACATCGACAAGAAAAAATACCCTTGATTCAATCAGATTTAAGCTTAAATAAAAAACCAAGCCTCTTAATTTGAGCGGATTTCCTTTTGATTTAAGCTTAAATCTGCTTGAATCAAGAGTCATTTTTCTTTTCAATGTTTTCGAGAGTCTGGACTCTAGATCCAATGTGTTTTTTTCTTCCAGTGCACTCACTGCAAAAATGGCAAGGTTCCTGACAAAATTTTGGTGGGAAGTTGAAAAATCCAACTCGGCGCTAAAGATGACGTAGGAATCACTAAAAACTGATACTGCAAAATCTGCAGGATAATCCATTTTTTGGTGCGTAATAACTGTATAAAGAAGCAAGTCACATAAACAGAGGAGTGAACACATATGTAATTCTTGAATGTGTTCACCTGTTTATTTCCTGTATTGATCACTCTGCCCAATAGTGAAAAGTTTGGATTGAAAATCGACGTTGAAACTTCCACACCGCTAATCTCCTTAAATGTGACGTTGCAGACATACCGTCATACTTAATTTCGTCAATGGAAAACTTCTTAATGGTAATTCTTAAAAACCACGGTGATTTTGCTTCTCTGTGCGAGGAAAATTCTATGAAAATTTCAAGGACTCATGTTATTTCTTCTTCGAAAAATAAAATAGGAGTATATAGAGATTTTATGATACGCGCAGACGAGGTACGTTGTTTGGAAGTTTCACCGTCGAAGTATTGGAATATTACTTAGTACTCGATTAGTTAATATGATCCGTGGTTGGTATGGATTTAGACACCTTAAATACCTTAAATACATAGCTCTTGGACACAGCCGATTCTATCCCTAAAATCACAATGGCATTGCTAAATTCATTTGTTTTAACCAAATGAGTACTTACTCTTGAAAGTTTCCGGTTCAGGTAGGTGTCTGAAAGAAACCGAACCCTGATCTGGTTAACCGAAATTCGGTTCCTAATATGACCGAAAACATTCGTTACCAGAACCAAAGGTTCGGTTTCTCTCAGACACCTACCTGAACCGGAAAATTTCAACAGTAAGTAAAAGTATCTGTAATCGAACATATTGTTCTCAATACTGGAATTTGCGCGTCTTCCTAAATTATTTGATAGAGCACCATCTTTTTTCTTCTTGTTGTCATTCAGGACAACTGTTCATATTCATGCACTTTTCTTTTCTTTCCTTCATGCTTCTGAAGTTTATAAAAGTTCGTCGGTTAATATAGTTGAGGATTTTTTTTTTATTTTTTTTTATTTTGACCCTATGGAATAACATCTTTTGGCCCTTTTTATTTGTGAATTCTTTCGCATGAACATGTAATGTAACCTTATCAAAAAAATTGTATGATTCGTTATTTCCAGTGAGGGAGATATAAATGAGGAGGCAGAGCTTCATTTTACGTATGAGAATACGAGTTCAAACGTGATTAAGGCTATATGAAACACTTTTTTCATAAATTGCAATAGCCTGGTATAACTAGTGCTTTTGTGTAGGAATGTGAGTGAGTATGTTGCTATGTTTATTAACTAATAAAATAAGCTCCTTTTCTAAAAATTCATTGCGATAAAATTGAAATGAGTCGCGATTTTTTTTTTTTGCATTGCAAACTGCCCACGTTTTTCACGCATACAAATATGTAATTTTATTGATCGCTTGGAATCGACATTAATTGATAAAAGTGATTTATTGCCATTTCAGGGTAGAAAAAATTGCATTTCATTTTTATAAAATTTCAAATATTGCACTGTGATAACTAAGGATGCAGAGTCTCAATTCTAAAAGCATTTTCTCGAAATCACTTTAAGTCACTGAAAAAGCTCATACATAGGGCCTTCCAATTTCCATTCTTGGAGTGGAGTTTGCTTATGGGATTCTACATAGATAAATGAAAAGAGTTGGTTAATAAATAAAAATAAATAAGATTTATTTTGAGAAGTTACGACAAATAAATAAACAAATGAGGATAAACCGTAAATACAAGGATTAAATAGAGAAAATAATTTGTCATACCTATTCGTAAAATACAAACATTGAGTCAGTTAGAAAGAATAAAAACGACCCTTGCGGTGGGAGGGTCGGGAGCAGCATAACTTCTTTAAGACAGAGATAGAAAGCTCAAAAAACAAACAAAGGAGGAAAAAAGGAAGACGAAAAATGGAGACAGGAAGGGGGAAAGGTGAAAGAGCAAACGAAAGAAGAGGAGAACACGATAAAAAAAAGTATAAAAATTATAGAAAAAAACTAACATGTAAAAATAATGATGATACATAAAAACAACACGATAACAAATCATATATTTTTCTTGTTACTTTCTAATCAATAAATAAATAAACATAGAAGGAGCAGGCTTGTGCTATACTGGGATTCAACGAATGATACTTGGATAGTACGAGCACGCTACAATTGACATAAACTAATGAAAGGTTCGTGTCTCTTTCCGAAACATCGCAATATCCTACAAGCCTGAGTGATAATTCAATGAGCGTAAATAAGGTTAGGTAGTTACAAAAAATGCTGGTATGTACACACATTTTCAGAATATTGAAGAATACGAGTGCAAATGATAGCCACACTAATACTTGACGAGGAAACAGAAACTTCGTTGCTTGCCCTCGGTTATTTCCAACTCTCTCATCGATTTAACGATGTGAATAGGTAACGTAACTCACAAGGCCGCGAACCAAGCTACGGGGACTTTGTTAAATAATTCATTTTTTTAAAAAAAAATTTAAAACATAAAAAGAGAACTTAAAAACTGGCGGGTATCTTTGAGGACTGAAAAATTTGACGCCAAAATTTTGATGCACAAAACCTTAGACAGAGTTTCCGTATTATCGAGGGTCACGAATCATTGATTTGAAATTATGACACACCTACCGACTTCCATGCTGACATGAGCGAGCTGAGCTTAGAGAAGCTTTTCATTTATAATCCCCAAATTTTTGTTTTGAGGCCAGATAGTTTAGGGCCAAATGGAAAATAGAGGGATGATCGGAAGAGGTAGTAATCTTTGGATCTTAATGACTAAAAAAAGAAAAAAAAATGTATTTATGCTGCAAGATTTGTAACTTCATTTTGAAATTAAAACTTCATTATTTTAAAGACTCTACAGATTAAAGAGCAGCTCAAAATCGGAAGAAATATAAATGCAAAATTAAACAGATGTATGCCTCAAAGAATTTGAGTCGTCAGAGCCTGAAAACTGATTTTAGTCAAGAGGGCTGTGTCGAGCAAATGTGCTCGATTTAAATTAAAACAACATCTATGCCAAGTAAGAAAAATGAGGAAAAATTACAATTGAAGAGGAAAATAAAAAAAGAAAAAGAGACGTACTGAACATGGTAAATTAAAGACAAGAAGCAATAGGGATTTTTTCTCACGAGAGCTTAGTGCATTCGGAAGAACCGTTTTACCTCATTTTGAGAAATTGCAAAATCAGTGGATGAATTAACTCTTTGGGGAGCCGCATAGTAAAAAAATAATTTCTTTAAAAAATTAGAAGAAAATATGGGTTTCAATTTTTTTTTAAATGAAAAGGCACAATTGTTTTTGGTAATAGACAAGAATTAAAAAAGACCAAATTTGGCAAGGGTACTGTTCGTGTTTCTCGTGTGAACAACACTGATTTGCTACTAAGGAGAATCACGTTTGAGAATATGGAAAGAAAGTATTGGGCTAAAATACGCGACGAACTAAACGGAATGAATATGAAATGTTCGGCATGATGATCTTGACTCAGCATCGGGTGATTTCACATCTCTTTCTCTACTTTTTATTTTACGGCAAAAAATGAGGAAAGATAATCCTACATTGCAAACAGACAAAAAGTAAGTTTTTGTTGTTACTTGCGTATTTGTTGGCACGTATTTTTGTGCGTTAAGTGTGGCGGAAAATTAGAGTAATCATATAATATGCTAGAATAAAGAGGAGAGAAAATCTGAATTTAAAATTAAAACACAGTGAACTCGCAAAATCAATTAAAAAAAAGAAGAAAAAAAATTGACAGTGAAAACTTTGAAAATAAAAGAATTAATAAAATATATTGACTATTGAAATATGATTCCAAAAATTAAAATGATACATCCTTTATTGTTGCAATTTCAGCACACTATTTGGAGGAGTTGAAAAAAACGTAAAATTATTTTAAAACTCAAATTTCTTAAAAGTGAAGAAAAAAACTGAACTTGCTAATGTTCTCGTACTAGTTTGATAATTAGGATGGATAAAAAAAGAGGAATTATTAAGAACTGAAGATTCAATTTAACTGCTACTGCGCAAAAAAATCCTTCCCGTTTCGAACTCTATGAAGCTTTTAAAGAGGATACAGGGTGTTCTAAGCTATAATTCTGTAGTGAGATGATGCACAGGTTCATTTTTCGATATCTAGCTAAGGCAACTTAACAGATATGGAAAAAATTAGGACAAAATTTAAAAAAAAAAGTGTACAGAAAGTTGAAATGCAAGTACATCACTTGGTAGCAGTGAGCTGGAAAAACAAAAATACAAAAAAGCTACACTGAAACTTGAGTAACATCACAGAACAGGACGATTACATTTACTGGAGGTATATACATGTAGTGAACAAATTTACAAGTACATTGAAAGGCTGAGAGTTTAATTTAAAGAGGGGAGGGATTTTTATTCGTAAGAAAAAAATAAGTTAGTTAAAGACACAAAAATAATATGCTTACTTTATAGTATCGTGCGCGGCGAGCGTACAAAAGTTGAGATAGTAAAATTTAAGTATGTATTCACAAGAGACTAAAAAAAGGAAATATCTACAAAAATGGTTCTTTAAAAATGATTGTTTTGATTGGTTCACTTAACGAAAGGAAGATGCTTGTTGAACTAGTGCGCATCATGTATTGAAAAATAAGTTTCTGGTGGACATGGAGTTTGTTCAATAAATTAGGAGCGAAACGCTTTCTTAGACTAACTAAAATAAGTTAAAGTATTGTCGATTGGACAATATTACACCCTGTACAAAAGCACAAATTACCATTGGTCAATTTTGAGGCCACAAATCAAGGTAGGATACAAAAGCATAAGTCCTCTTGGATCAAGGGCTCAGCACCGACTTGAAATAAAGCTTCCGATAAGAAAGTGTTGGATTATCGTCATCAGCAAATGCCAACGCAAACTGTAGAGGGGAACAATTAGTAGAAAAAGAGGTGGATTATAAAATTACATCCGAGTAGTAAAACAAAAAAGGGAACTGATAAGTAGTATTGGAGAATACACAGAGCGTGTTCTTGGATCAAGTTGTAAAAATTATTCTCAATGATAATTTCAATAAAATTAAACAAGGCAGTAGAAAATTTATCACAAACAAATATGAAAAAAGGAGGAAGTAATACAAACATTACTTAACACAAAACGCACTCGGATTTGGAGTGCAGGGACAATGAGGGATACACCTGACTAAGTTAGGGAAGGGGGGGGGGCGAGAGAGACTGTGATACCATCGGATTTTAAAAACTTTTCCATGGTATCAAGGCATGGGTCTTTTAACAAACGATAAAAAAATGAGAAAAAAAAGTGCTTGCGAATTAACTTCAAAATGAATGATGATTATATTCTGGTCAATCAGCAGTATCCATACCTATCGACTGAAAATTGTGTGCAAAAATTACTTTTAATTCATTACTTAACCGTCTAAGATCACATTTGGCTTTGAAATAATCGAATTAAAATTAAATAAATTAAAATAAGTTTCTTAAACAACAAACGTTTAACTGTACGAGAACGTAAAAACAGTTCGCTCTTGATAAAAAATTTTCAAACATTTCATAGTTACATGTAGATTACAGTAATTTACATAAAAACAATGATTATAATTAACTTTTAATAATCTAAGTATGGTAGAAAATAAATAAATAAAATAAATTAAACAAATGTAGTAATAAATAAAAACAATTCAATTTTTGTTTAAAAAATGACACGATTCTTCCATAAATGAAGCCAAAGAGAAGAAATGATACAAAGCTCTTTCTACAAAGTAAATATCGTGGATTACAGTTCCAAAATAAAAAGCTTCTTGAGAAATTGGGGGAGAACTTCCGGGTAGAAAAAAACCAAATGAGCGAAAACTTGCGTTCAAATGCAAATAGGTACCAAATTCAAGAAAGATTCTTACAAAATGTGCAGAAAAGTGCTCGCTCAAGGGCGATATTTAGGGTCCACGAGGAAAGGTAAAGGGAATTTTATGAAAAAGGACAAAAATCTGCATTAACTTCGGAAAAGATTCATGATTCCAGGAGATAGTATTATGGGCAATTGTTACTTTTCCATGAGACGGAAAAGTACAAAAAAATAGGAAAATAGAACCACGTTGCATGAACATGAAAAGGGGCCAAAAAACCGTGCCATCAGAGGAGCAACAATTTTTGGAAGGGAAGCACTTTCTCTTCTGGCGATAAGAATAATATGGAAATAGAGGAGCGAGGATACGATGATCATAAGTTGAACATTTTTAAAGAACAAGGAAATATACAAGTTCAACATTCGATCATGGCGAACACTCTTCGAGGAGAGAAAAGAAATGAAGAGCTTGGGAAACGAAAAAAAAGATGGGTAGGTAATGAGCTACCTGGTAACACTTGCGCGCGGACCCTTAAGATCGATCCCTTGCGAGACCCTTTTTGCACCTGGACGAGCTCTGGATGATTTCAAAACGAAGGCAATGTCAAGTTGAGCTGCTGCGACGAAAGCTACGCACCGGACTAGTTGGGAGGTGACTATAGGCCTCCACGAAGGGGGAGGATATACGCACTTAAAAGAAATACCAAATCTCGAGGGAGGAAGTGGCTGACAGTCTTAAAAAAAATCGTGCTGCGGACCAAATGAGGCGTGTAGGATCGAAAATGCACAACTCCATGTAACAATTCATCATCACGTGACTGTATATTCAGACCTTAGAGGGCCCGGGTAAAAGTAAATATTTTGTAAGATAATCCCCTCGCAAATTCGATTGATGAGAGGATTCGTCCGTGAGGTGTTGAAAAATGGACAGCTTCGACCAAGATCAGCTTAATTGTATGACAAGTTGCCTACTTTTTTCTCGTGTTCATTTTCTCGACCGAAAACTTAACAATATAATCTGTTGAAACTCGCTCCGATTTTCCTTCCGACTACAAGTACGTTCTCACAAAATTTCTCGGTAAAATGTTGCTAACTCTCCTGTCAAAAAAATGAACACGAGAGGGAACTAGGCAAATTGTCATACAGTTGATACAGGCTGATTCTAATCCATGATAAGAGCATTTTGACGACTTACAAAATAGATGAGGCGTTGCACAATCGTTAAAAGTAGATGACTTGTACACTACTCCACCACGTTAAGGAGAAATAAGAATACGAGCATTCAAACGTTGCCGTAATTTGTCATCAAAAATGTGAAATGTTTTCCGGAAAAGCAATGAAAATTTCAGAGGAGTTTGATTGCATTGAGAACAACACAGTCCGAAAACTTTGCAGAGAGACATATCCACAATTTTTTTTTAAAAAACGCATGTTTTTTGGATGAAATTCGGCGACATGGGAAGGTTCGTAGAACATTCCTCCTTAGCGCGGGAGTTGATCCTACACACGGGAAACACGAAGAGTGCGAAATGCTTCGACCAGTGGCGATGCCCTCTGGTTGGCAGCACTAGTTTTACTCCATCTAAATCCAATGAATATATCGATTCTGGGCGATGCAGGCTGCTTCGCCTAGAATCGATTGTCCAACGTACATTCAAACGGAGGAAAAACCAGTGTTGCCAACTTGGAAGAATCGCGACTGGCTACGACGACGCAGCTCGAGACGGGGTTTTGAGCAAGAGGAGTTGCGTCTTCTCTGCGTGCAGCTGGCTCTCGTCGCACGAGCTCCGGTGAATGTCATAAGGAAAACGAGCGTTCACGGGTGGAAGAGGGCGGCGGGCGCTCACTGGGCCATGAGCTCGCCGCTGAAGTGGTGGTGCAACGACAGCGACACGACGGGCGGGCCGCTGAGGCGGTTGAAGACGGGCAGTCTGGACTCGGAGACGGGGGACCCGACCGGCGACGGCGAGGAGGCGGGCGAGTAGGAGTCCATCGGGGAGTCTGGCGGCGTGAACTTGACCAGCGGCGCGAAGCTGAAGGCGGTGTTCGCTGTGGCCGAGGGCGGCGGGGACACGGAAGAGATGCTCGGGGGTGGCGAGAGGGAGTCGGCCAAGGAGCCAGGGGCGGCCGGCAGGTAGAAGGGCCCGGGTTTGGGCTTGCGGGACTCCCGGGGGGCGAGGGCGCGGGTCTCGTCGGCGTTGTGGATGAAGTGGCAGCGGGGTCCGTACGGGCAGAAGCCGGAGGTGTGGAAGGTCTTGCAGAGCTCCGTCTTGTACTTGGGGTGTCGCGAGAGGGAGCGGAGCTCGTGGAAGCCGTGGGCGAACTGGCACTTGTCGCCGTACTTGCAGCCGCCGTTCTCCTCGTAGGGGCGGCAGAGCTCCGTCTTGTAGCGGGTGGCGTTCACGTTGGCCGGGGTCCTCGAGATGGGCTCCGAGTGGCTCCGGTCCAGGCGCTTGTGCTGCGAGCCGTGGTGGTACGAGGGGTACTTCCCGCTGTGGTGGTGGTGCTCGTCGAAGGCGCCCGGGTTCCCCGAGCGGACTGAGGGCTGCGAGATCGGCCGGTGGATCGGCTCCATCTCGTCGTGCCATGGCATCGGTTTTGAGTCCTGCAACAGAAAAAAACACGTTTAATTAGAAATGACGCCAGCGCAATACTAAAGAGAAGAATACCAGAAACAACAAGGGGCGTGGGAGGAGATCAGGAGGTGCCAATTGCCTCTGGGAGGATAGCCGGCAATGGCGATTGGGCGTCGCAGAGCAAGAGGCTGCGCTGTGAAAGCAGCTTTATGCATGTATATGTAAAACCAGAGGCAAAGAGATATCCTCCAATAGCCTCTTGGCGACAGGTGAAAACTTTTACTTTCGGGGATTCAACACTTCCAAGTGGACAATTGGACCGCGTTTAGCAGAAACAAACAAATCCACATAAGCTATTGTCAAATTTAACAAATTGTGAGTAATTTGACTTTTCGGAAAATAACGTTTGTGCGGATTTTATTGAAAATTTCAAAGAATACGCTTCGTACTTTGCAGAAAAGTCACTGAAATTTGCAAAAAAATCCGCACAACCGTTATCATGTAAAAATTAAATTGCCCGATTGAATTAGGCAATAGCTGATACGGCTTGGTTCCTTTCTGCTTAACGTGATCCACTTATGGAAGCAACAGTCATCTTATTTACTGAGTAGATGATGAGCTTCGGAAGTCGTCATGAGCCAAACAAGTCAGCCAAACTTCGGTTTATTTGCAAAACGAAATACTCAACAGGTTGTTACGCATCCACCTACTAGGTCAGTCAGTAGAAGAATGTTTGAGTAGAAGTTTCCGCCATTACCGAGTTATCAATGGGGAGTCTCTCTTCGGCTCTGTCGAATACAGAACCTTGAGGACCCTCTCGGCGACGGGAGGCAACGGACAAAATACCCGCAGAAAAAAAAACCATCCTAGAAATCCTGTACTGCTGCTGACTGACTTAACACGATAGAGTCCAGTCGACGCACGCCCATACGTGCTATTCGATGTCTCACCACTCAACAGGCTGTTGAGTGGTGAGATGTCGTTGTCGGGTGGACTGACCCACCGCAACCGCGGCGCAAGAGTGCGGGCCAGGCCAGACCGCAAAATCCCCGTCTGCAAGGCGGCGTGGATGCCACTCCGGCAGACTTGCAACTCCTGCGGGAATTAGACTACATTTTGCAATTAGGAACTAATATTTCTGGCTCAGTTCAGAAACAATTTACGTACCATTAGTTTCCCTTTGCACATAAGTGTTTTTGCGGATTAGCCAGAAATTGTAGTTCTGAATCGTAAAATGTAGTCCAAATGTTAACAGGCGTGCATGAAAACCACTATTTTTCCAGTGGTGGATTTAAAGAGGAAACTTTCCGTTGCGTTGAAAAATAATTTATTGCGGTGCTTAATTTCGTGCCCTGCTAAAGAATCAACGCGCAAAGAATTGCATACATTCCAGGGTGTTTTTTAAAAAAAAAACACGCGTGGCATAAAGCAAAAATTCCCAATTTTCTCGCAGAATTTCCGAACATTTTTCAGTAGAGAACTTTTTCAAATAGAATTGCAAGGCAGCTTAAGGCATCAAACTCTTAACCCGTACATCCGCTTTTATACCTCGTTGCGAGAAGTTTTTGCATAACCGTAACGCGGGG